AATTTTATCTAATCACAAATTTCGTAACATTTTGTGACATTTGCCTTATCTTTAATTGGACATCCCTTCTTCGACTACCTTCTATTATACATCTTTTTGAGACGGTTACCGAATTATCTTTATTGTCTCTAGGGTCTACCGTTTCAAAACAGTTCACACCTTTTCCGAAGTGTAAGTATGGATAGAGCAAAAATAGGCACCGGCCACTTGGGCTTACAGAACAGAAATGTGAAACATTTGAGGAAGTAATTGTGGTAGGATTCATAAGTAATTCAGCAAAATCAGGCGTATTTTAGACAAAAACCGAACGTTTGGAGGATTAACCACCAAAGAAGCTCACCGTGACTTGCTTAGAGGTAGTTATGTAAGGGCAAGTACACCTAGTGACAGTTCGAATTCAAACTTTGGGTTAGATATAAAAATGTGCTGTGTCCGATTCCTGTATCAACTTAATGAGTTAATGGTGTGATTTAAAAGAGCAATCTTGCTCCTTTTTGAAGTTGCAAAGTTCTGGTCCTTGATATGCCATTATCGTGAATATATGAAGGTTTAATAATAGACTGCCTACGTTAGTAACAGATGCAAGGGAAACTGTATTAAGAGAGGGACTTTTATAAAGATTTTGCAAATTAAGAACTATGGGATAAGCAAAATGTAATAAGTGAGGGTATTAATAATATTTGTGGCCAGCAAAATTGGAAAGATTTAGAGAGTATGTAATGGCCCATTTATTACTCCCTTCATTGGAAGCCCTACTTTGTTATAGGCACATTTGCAAGCCCATATCCGCTATGAATTTGTAAAATTTGCCGTCGATCTTAGTTAGCTGCCTTAGAATAGGTTTCAAAAGAAAGTACTGCTCTTGGCTTTGGCATACTTTACGAAACAATGTTGGGAAAGAATGTAAAATCTGATTCAAGGCACCATTTTCTCTAAAACTTAAGAATCAGCCTCAACTCGAAAGAAGTGGAGGATGATAATTAATCAAAAGTCTCAAGACAACGCAAAGGTGAGCATAAGATTGCCGACAAAGCTTCTTTCATTTTCGAAATGTCGCACCGAAATGCCTCCTTGTATCTTGTGAGAACCCTCTAAAATGCGACTGGTTATATATCTAATTTGTGTTGAAATGACAAAATTGCAGCTTATATTGTCATATATCTTT